ATATATACATGTATGTATATATGGGAGCTCTGATAGTGTAGTGCCTAAGGCACTTGACTGCTAACCACAAGGCTGGCGGTTCAAACCCACCAGCCACTCCTTGGAAGGAAGGTTGGGTAATCTACTTCCATAGTGATGCCACCTCAGAAACCCAAGGAGGGGTCACTATGAGTCGGGTCTGGCTCGATGGCACATAACAACAATAACAACAAATATATATGAGGTCTAGTTGATGCTGTTGTTTAAATCTTCTTTGTCGTTGGTGGGTTTCTTTCTAATTCTATCATTCATTGATAGTGGTGTATGGAAGTCTTCTATTGTGGTGTCTCTTTCTCTTTTCAATTCTCTTAATGTTAGATTGATGTTTTTGGGATGTGTCATTGGGTGCATTGATGTTTATTATGGTTATGTTCTCTTGTTGCTTGACCCTTTAATCATTTTTTAATATCCTTCCTTGTCTCTTTTGTTGATTTTCATTTCAAAGTCTAATTTCTCAGAAATTAATATTGCCATTCTTGCTCTTTCATGCTTGCCATTTGATTAATATTTGTTTTTCCATCCTTTGATTTTTACCTCATTTTTGTCTTTGTGTCTAAGGTGTGTGTTTTTTAGACAATGTATTGATGGCTCATATTTTCTTATCCATTCTGCTATTCTCTGTCTCTTGACTGGTGCATTAATCCATTTTCATTCACTGTTATTATCAATAGATATGCATTTAATGCTTTCATTTTATATTTTTGTGCTGTTGATGATTTCTTTGTTCCATGTATTTTCCTGTGCTGAGTTCATTTTGTTTATGGATTTTCTTATCATTCACTTTGTTGCTGTTGTTTTAGTGTGTACTGAGACTTTGTGATTTTCTTCTTTGTGTTTTGGTGAGGTTTGTTAATTTTCTCTGGGGTTACCTTGTAATTTATTATTAGCTTTCCAAGTTTAAAGCAGTCTGTTTTTTCTTTATATTGTCTTGACTTCCTCTCCATTTGGAAATTTTGTAACTGTGTCATTTATTCTCTCCTTTTACTTTGTAGTTATTGTCATTTACTAATTGACATCTCTGATTTCTTGTTTTCAGTTGTAGGTTGATTGGGTTAATTTCTGCATGATGTTGTGTGTTTTAATCTCTTGATTGTTGTCTGCCATGGTTATTTCTCTATCCAAAAAGCTCCCTTTAGTACTTCTTATAAAGTTAGTTTTGTTTTTCCAAATTGCCTTAATTTAATTTTATCTGAGAATGTTCTCATTTCACCATCGTATTTGAGGGACAGTTTTGCTGGATATATAATTCTTGGTTGGCGATTTTTATCTTTCATGTTTTGTATATGTCATCCCATTGCCTTCTTCCTTGCATGGTTTCTCCTGAGAAATTAGAGCTTGGTCTTATTGTTTTTATTTGTAGGTGACTTTTAGTTTTTCCTGAGCTGCTCTCATGATTCTTTCTTTGTCTTTTGTTTTGGAAAGTTTGATTATGATATGTCTTAGTGATTTCCTTTTGGAGTCTCTCCTTTTTGTGGTTCATTGAGATTCTTGAATGCATATTTTCTTATCTTTCATGATATTAGGGAAGGTTTTTTCCTACAAATCTTCAAAAATTTTTTCACTGCTTTTTTTCTTTGTTGTCTGTTTTGGAATGCCAAACACTGTAAGGTATTCCTCTTTGATGGTGTCTCACATAATTCCTAGTCATTCTTCATTTTTTTCCTGATTATTCCTCTCACAGATTAGTATTAAGAGATCATATGTCTTCATTCTCAGTAATTCTGTCTTCCATCAATTCATTTCTCCTCCTTTGCCCTTCCAATGTGTTATCTATTTCTGAAATTGTGGTATTAATCCTCTAGAGTTCTGTTTACTTCTTTTTATTCTTTTTTTTTTCTTTATGGTTTTAAGTTTTCCATTTATTTTATCAATTTTTTCTTGTATTTTTCTCCAAAATTCTTCTAGAGTTTTATCTGTGTTTTCCTTGATTTTGTCTGTGGTTTGCTAGGAATTTATTCGGTTGCAGTTTGTTGTTGTTATTTGCCATCGAGTTGGACCCAACTCATAGCGACCCCTCCTTGGGTTTCCAAGGCAGTATCACTACGGAAGTAGATTGCCCAACCTTCCTTCCGAAGAGTGGCTGTGGGTTTGAACCACCAGCCTTCTGGTTAGCAGTCAAGTGCCTTAAGCACTATGCTACAGTTTAGGAGGCTAGAAATCTGAATTCAGAGTACCAGCTCTAGAGGCCAAGTGAAGCCCCCTCAACCGTGAGCTGTTATAGGTCTGTCTCTTGTTCTAGACCCAGTGGGCTGGAGGCTTCTTGTAACTCATGCAGCTGCTGGCTGCTGAGGCTGATGAACCCAAGGTCAGCTTATAGAATGGCACAAAATGGCACAATCTGAAGATCACCAGTCACACCGAAGGCCACTGGTTCAAGTCCAGGGTCAATCCCAAAATAGGTGGGCAACACAGCAGGCCATTGGATGAATATTTGGCCAAATGCATGATCCAGGCATACCAAAAAGCTGGAGACCTTTTCCAAAGCTTTTCAATATATAGTGGAAGCAGGCCATAGCCTGAAGGCAACTCTCCTTCAACTGCTTAGGTGATCACAGCAGATCCTAGAGTGGAGGTGATTATAATCTCATCATGGAGAATAACTACATCCAACAACCTAGCCACTCAAAACCGTGGCCAAGCCAAGTTGACATACAACCTTAACTACCACAGTACCTAAATACAATTCTTTTGAATTCCTTATCAGTTCCAATAGCATTTCTTTCTCCAGAAGATTTTATGGCCCTATGTTTTTGTCACTTGTTTGAAACTTCTTGTCCTGTATTTTGTATATGTGTGTGTGATTTTAAGTTGTCTTTTGTCTTTGAAAAATTGTAGTGTTATTATATTGATTTGTTGAATGTATGTTGGTTTGCTTCACCCTGATATTTTGTTTTAACATATCCATGCAACAAGGTGGGCATGTTACTCTGGTCCCTAATTTGGCGGCATTGGGATGGCCACCACCTTTCTGGGTGGATTTGGTAGTGGGTTGGTATGTGTGCATGGGTCTCTGATCATTGGTCATGCAGAGCAGCTTAGGGCAGTTTGCACAGGTGTTTGCTTCAGGTTCTCATCTATCCAATGGTGCTAGAGGGGGTGGGGGCACTTTCCCAGTGTGTATGTGACAGGTATGGTGGGTATGGCTGGGTAGGGTCACTGGCTCCCAACTTCTGGAGAAAGATAGGGGGAAAAGAAAATGAAACACAAGGGGGGGAGGTTAGGAAAAAAATTAAGGAAATAAAGGAAAGAACAATTAGTTGAGGGGGAGGAAGAGAGTCCAAAGAAGAAAAAGAAAGAGAAAAAAGAAGAAGAAAAAAAAGAAAAATAAGAAAAAACAAACAAATAACAAATGTGGTACCGTACTGGCAGAACTGTAGCCATCAGATATGGCCACAATAGAATTGTGGCATTTGCACTGGGGGACTGTGCACTACCAAATATGGAGGGTCAGCAGTACTACTGAATGCATAGGTGGTGGGGTGTAAGATGGCGTGTGAGACACTTGCCTAGCCAGATCAAAAAAAAAAAAAAAAAAAGGGAAAAAGAATAAATTTAGGGAAGTGGAAGAAAAAAAATTATGTGGGAGAGAAGGAAGAACTGAGAAGAACTAAAAAAAGTGAAAAAAAAAAATCTGGCACAAGTGTTACCAGCCAAACACAGTTGTAGCAGGAATGTGGAGCTCACTCTGCAGTAGTGTGCAACACCATCCATGGAGGGGTGAGCATAAGCACTGCTGACCACAGCAGGTAGTGTCCACTCCACAAGATCACAAAAAAAGGGGGTGAGGAGAGGACAAAAATGAAAAGAAAGAGGAGCGAAACAAGGGTGAGAAGAGAGAAGAACCAAGAAGAAGGAAGAAAGAAAGAAAGAAAAAAAAATAGTACTGGCAAAAGCCCCAGCCACCTGCTCATAGCCATATGGGAATGCATTGTTCAGCTCTGACCAGGGAAGTGTGGAGTAAACATTGGAGGCAGCAGGGGAAAGGGTGCCCACCTTTTAGGACTCCCTACCCCCAAAAGAGAAAAAGGGCAAGAGAAGAGAGGAAAAAAGAAGGTAAAACAAGAAAAGGAGGGGAAGAGGGAAGAACTAAGCATGAAGATAAAGGGAGAGAAAAATCATCACAGTACTGACAATCAAGGAAATTTGGCTGCTGGGTGGGTGTGGCAGGGGAGGGCCACGCCTCTGGTCAACATGAAGTTGTACAAGATAAGGGAGGAGGTCACATCTCTCTAGTCACCAGATCACCAGTCCAGTGTGAGTGCTGGTCCAGTCCTGGGCGAGTGAAGCCAGTTAGCTGGTTCCTGCTTCAATTTAGAACACTGTTAGCAATACTTCAGAATAGCTCTGTTGTGCTGGTTGCCAGTTTACTGCTCCTTGTTCACTGTTTTTGTGCAGTCTCTTCTCATTAGCATTTGATCTATTTCTTTATACTTTTCTTTGAAGCTGTGGTTCCAGCTTTCTTGTTCATAGCGATTTCACTTGGTTTCTTGAGTCTTTGTTGAAGACGGTCTGTCTGGATAGTGTGTGCCTAGTCCATAGTCTTGGATCCTTCCCTCAGCCTATTTTTAGTGTTCTGTGTTGTCACTCTAACTTTCAAGAGCAAGATTCAGAGTCTCCTCTGACATCCATTTTGGTCTTGTCTTTCTTCTCTCTTCAATGACCATTTGCTTTCTTCATGTATTATGTTGTGATGTCATCCCCCAATTCATCTGATTTTTGATCATTAGTGTTCCATGTGTCAAATCTTTTCATTAGATGGTCTCTGAATTCAGATGGGATATACTCAAGGTCATACTTTGGCTCTTGTGTACTTGTTTAAATTTTCTTCAGCTTCAAGTTGAACTTGCATATCAGTAATTGATTGGTTCCTCAGTCGGCTCCTGGCCTTGTTCTGATGATTTGGAAATTCTCCATTGTCTCTTTCCATAGGTGAAGTGGATTTGATTCCTGTGTATTTCATCTGGAAAAATCCATGTGTATAATTGCTGTTTATATTGTTGAGAAAGGTATTTCCAGTGAATAGGTCATTGGTCTTTTAAACTTCTGTCATGCAATCTCTGACATTGTTTCTATCACCAAGGCCATATTTCCCAACTACTGATCCTTCTTGGTTTTCAACTCTGTCATTCCAACTACCAGTAATCATTAATGCATCTTGATTGCATGTTTAGTCGATTACAGATTTCATAAATTGGTAAAAATCTTCTATTCTTCATCTTTAGCATTAGTGGTTGGTACATAATTTTGAAAAATGGTTGTATTAACTGTTGTTCCTTATAAGCATATAGATATTTTCCTATCACTGACAGTGTTGTACTTCAGGATAGATCTTGAAACATTCTTTTTGTCAATGAATGAGACATCATTCCTCTTTAATTTGTCATTCCTAGCATAGTAGACCATATAACTATTTGATTAAAACTGGCCAATACCAGTCCATTTCTACTCATTAATGCCTAGGATAAAATCAAAACCAAACCCACTGCCATAGAGTTGATTCTGACTCATGGTGACTCCTTTGGGCTTTCAAGACTGTAAATCTTTATGGAAATAGATTGCCTCATCTGCCTCCCGTGGAGCATCTGGTGGGTTTGAACCACTAACCTCTGTTTATCATCCAAATGCCTTACCCCCATCCCCACCCCATGTCACCAGAGCTCCTTAATGCCTAGGATACCTATCTTCAAGTCTTCCATTCATTTATGACAACTTCTACTTTTCCTTTCACATTCCACATTCTGATTATTATCAGATGTTTGCAGCTGTTACTTCTTATTTTGAATTGTGACACATTAGCAAATGAAGGTCCTGGAAGCTTTACTCCATGTCATTAAGGTTGACTCTACTTTCAGGAGGCAGTTCTTTCCAATAGCATTTTGAGTGCCTTCCAACCTTAGGAGCTTATTGTTGTACTAGACAGTGTTCAACTGGTATTGATGAGGTTTTTATTGGCCATTTGTTTTTTAAAAAAATAGATTGCCAGGCCAGTCTTCCTAGTCTGTAAGTTAAAATAACTGAACAGAAGATTTCAAAGGACAGCTTAAGAAGATAAAATAAAATATTATAATGAAATGTGCAAAGACTTAGAATTAGAAAACCAAAAGGGAAGAACACATGGGACATTTCTCAAGCTGAAAGAACTGAAGAAAAACTCAAGCCTCAAATTGCAATATTGAAGGAGTCTGTAGGTAAAACATTGAATGATGCAGTATACATCAAAAGAAGATAGAAGGAATACACAGAGTCACTATAACAAAAAGAATTGGTCCATGTTCAACCATTTCAGGAGGGTACCTATAGACAGGAGCCAATGGTAAGGAAGGAGTCCAAGCTGCACTGAATGCATTGATGAAAAACGAGACTCCAGGAATTGATGGAATACCCATTGAGATGTTTCACAAATGGATGCAGTGCTGAAAGTGCTTACTTGTCTCTGGCAGGAAATTTGGAAGAGAGCCATATCTGCCCATTCTAACAATATTAAAATTATTAAACATTATAATTAATGTCACATAAAAGTACAATTTTGCTGAAGATATTTCAAAAAAGGTTGCAGCAGTACATCAACAGAGAACTGCAAAAAATTCAAGCCAGATTCAGAAGAGGACATGGAACAAGGGATATCACTGCTGACGTAAGAGGGATCTTGGTTGAAAGCAGAGAATACCAGAGAGATGTTTCACTGGCATGGCAATACGTATGTAAAGGCATTTAACTATGTGGATCATAACATAGTTAAATTATGGATAACATTGCAAAGAATTGAAATTGTACAACATTTAATTGTGTTTATGAGGAACCTGTACATAGACTAAGAGGCTGTCATTTGAACAGAACAAGGGGATACTGCATGGTTTAAAATCAAGAAGATTGTGCATTAGAGTTGTGTCCTTTCACAAACTTATTCAGTCTTATGCTTAGCAAATAATCTAAGAAGATGGACCATAAGAGGAACACACCATTAGGACTGGAGGAAGACTCATTAAAACATGTGATATGCAGATAACAAAACCTTTCTTGCTGAAAGTGAAGACTACTTGACTGATGAAGATCAAAGACTACAGCCTTCAGCATAGATTACACCTCAACATAAAGAAAACAAAAATCCATACAACTGGATCAATAAGCAACATCATGATAAATGGAGAAAAGATTGAAGTTGTCAAGAATTTCATTTCACAATCAACAGCCATGGAAGCAGCAGTCAAGAAATTAAATGACATATTCTCTTGGGCAAATCTTTTGCAAAAAGACCTTTTTAAAATATTAAAAAGCAAGATGTCACTTTGAGAATTATGGAGCAAGTGATGTAAGCTATGGTATTTACAATTGCCACATATGCATATGAAAGCTGGACAATGAATAAGGAAGATCAAAGATGAACTGATGCATTTGAATTATGGTGTTGGCAAAAAATATTGAATATACCGTGGACTGCCAGATGAACCAACAAGTCTGCCTTGGAAGAAAGAAGTACAGCCAGATGTTCCTTACTCAAGCTCATTGCCATTGAGTTGATTCCAACTCATAGCAGCCCCCTTTGGATTTCCGAGGTGGTAAATCTTTATGGAAGTAGATTGCTCACTCTTCCTACCACAGAGTGGCTGGTGGGTTTGAACCTCCAACCTTCTGGTTAACAGTCAAATGCCTTAGGCACTGCACCACCAAAGCTCATTAGATGTCTTTAGAAGCAAGGATTATAGATTTCATCTCACATACTTTGGATGTGTTATCAGGAGGGACAAATCCCAGGAATAGCAACTCATATTTGGTAAAGGATCAGCAAAAAAGAGGAAAGCCCTTAATGAGATGAATTGGCTGCAACAATGGACTTGAACATAACAACAAATGTGAGGATGGCACAGGACTGGACACTTTTTCTTTGTGTTGCTATAAATTGGAACCAAATTGACAGCAATGAACAACAACATGTTGTTACACAATTGGGTTTAGTAACTGACCCTTGGCTGGCCACATAGAACCCTCACCTGCATGAATTCTGAGAAGTACAGGGTGATAATGTGTTAGAAGTAAATGCAAAGAGCTGTCAGAAGAAAGGAGTCCTGTGAAAAGGGAGAAAAACTCTGTCTTCTCATTCTCACTGATTTTGGGGTTGCCTTTTTGACATCATTTGAAAGAGTCAGTCTGAAAATGACAAAATGTATGAGGAACTCTGTTATCTGGGAAGTGAGTTTTAAAATTCTGCTTTTCCCATGTGCTTTTTCTATTAACCATATATTTTTATTTAATTTTTTAAATTGTGCTTTAGGTGAAAGTTTACAGAGCAGAGTTTGTTTTACATTCAATGTTACGTGTACATTTAGTTTCACTCCCTATTTACCATCCCCAACCCTAACCCAATCTCCCCCACCCCCTGCCCAGAAACCCCTGCCCCCGGTGCCCCTCGTAGTTATGCACTCCTGTGTGTCCTGCATTTCCTCCATGCAAATGTTGATCCTTTGGTGCTCTGTGGTTGATTGCTCCAAGGGATGCATTTCCATAGAGTATGTGGGTATGTCACCCTGGGTTGAGTGGTCTGTGTATACATCTTGTTTACTATTGGGTTGAGAGCTAACCCCTGGATGTGAGTTTTATTCCAGGCCCAGAATGTATCCCAGGGGCTAGTATTGGGGTTCTCACCAGACTCCATCTGACCAGTAATTCTGGTTATTATTTTTTGGATTTTGTTCCACAGTTTTCCCCCCACTCTATCCAAGATCTCCAGATTTGATCCTTTCCTGACTGGTTGGCATTGGTAGCCGGGCACCATCTAGTTCTTCTGGTCTCGAGGGCCATCATGTCCTAGGGCTGATTGCTTCCAAAAGCCTTTGTTTTTTTGCACTCTTCTTTGCTTATGACAGTAGAAGGCCATTAGCTGCTATTGAGTTGTATATTAAGCTTGGGACCCACTGCCATTGAGCTGATTCTGACTTATAATGAGCCTACAGGACAGAATAGAATTGCCCTATAGGTTTCCAAGGTTGTAATCTTTATGGAAGCAGACTCCCTCATTTTTCACCAACAGCGCAGCTGGTCAATTTGAACCACCGACTTCTGCTTAGCAGCTGAATACTTTGATCCCTGCACCAGCAGAGCTCCTTTAAGCTTGGGGATACCTTGAAAATCAGATACAGGTCATGCTGTAATGTTTGTTGTTGTTGTTTGCCGTCGAGTCGGCCCTGACTCATAGCGACCCCTCCTTGGGTTTCAGAGGCAGTATCAGTACGGAAGTAGGAATGCCCAACCTTCCTTCTGAGGAGTGGCTGGTGGGTTTGAACCGCCAGCCTTCTGGTGAGCAGTCAAGTGCCTTAGGCACTATGCTACCAGAGCTGTAATGTTTAGTGGGGATATAATAGGCAACTCTAATCAAAGATGGTCATCACCTAAAGGAGTGTCTGGGTAGTGCAAATAGTTAATATGTTTAACTCTTAACAGAGAGATTGGAGGTTTGAGTCCACCTAGGGGTGCCTTGGAAGAAAGGCCTGGAGATCTATTTCCAAAAAATGAGCCATTGAAAACGTTATGGAGCATAGTTCTACTCTGAAACATATGGGGTCACCGTGCATTGAAATTGACTAAGTGACAACTGGTTTAAGCACCTAGAATAGGGGTAGAAGGCACAGAATGAAGGACTTAGAAAACTACAGCAGTGAGTGAAAACCTCTTCCTGGTATGAAGAAGTACTGAACAAAAATATTTCTTGAATATGTTAAATGCATTGCTGTACATGAAGGGCAAAAGGGGAATCTCCGTGTGTCACAGATGGGGTGAGAACTAATAGTCATAGTTGGAGAGGAGGTTGATGTTTCAGGCCCTGGAGAGAACTGGGACTGCTTTCATTAAAGGGTGAGAGACACTCTTGTACAACCTGTGGTTACAGCGAGAAGTGATTCACTTGGATGAAATAGCCACTGGCTGGATGTTAGATCCACAAGCTAGAGATGCCTTCCAGTGCAAAGCTCCCATTTGCACTAGTTTCTTGTTGAGAGATTTGAAAATGAATGTAGAAAAATCATAGAGGAACAATGGAATTTACAAGGCAAAAGAAAGCATATAACCACCCAACAAGGAGATCCTATACCCATCCTAAAGAAGTTCCATTATATGTTAAGAGTGTCAAAAACTAGAAATCATTGTTCCACCTTCTATTGTGGCTAGTAGCGACTGAGATCTTAAAAGCTTGCAAGCTGCCATCTAGATGCAACGATGGGTCTCTCCTTGTCCAGGGCCAAGAAGAATGAAGAAAACCAAAAATTCATGGAAACAAT